GCCCCATGCCCAGCCTGGCAGAGCGCTGCCCTTGGCACCCCGTGGGCACTGCCAGGGCGGAGGCCCTTTGCCCGGAGCGCTCCTTCCAGACGTCCGTCTTCCGGTAGCACAGAGGAGTCCCCTGGGTGCAGGTCAGCCTGGTTGTGCAGTGCACAGTGTGGGCTCGTCCTAGCCGCTCCGGGGCAGAGTCTGACCCCAGTTCCCCCAGCGCAAGCCTGGGAACGGTAGAGCGGCTCCATGTTTCCACCGGTGAGACCTGCAGCTGGCCCTTGGTCTGCTTCCTGCGGCCCTCCATGTGCTCCGGCCCAGCCTGCAGACCCCTCTGGGGATTACAAAGTCGTCCTCCCTTCCCCCACGCCCTTGGGGCCAGCTCCCGAGATCCCCTGTGCAGCCTTGACCCGGACCCGCAGGGTGGGGAACCGACGCCCTCCCACACCCAGTGGTCTCTCTGGATCTGGGGGAATTCTGAACCATGAGAGGTCTCCTCTTGGACCCTTGATCCCTGGTCCTTGCATTGGGACTCCGGGGCGGAGGGCAGGGGGCTATTCTCGATAGCAGGAGAGACCCTGTGAGCAGTTGTTGACGATCACATGCGGACGCAAATCCCTTGAAGACTTGGCCAGCCCCTTAATCTGCTATTACAGGTCCCGGGTCTATTTTTGGATCTATCCCGCCTGACCTTTGCAGCTGCCTGGTCTGGAATTAAATGGGGCGTTAGCAAGCTCGCATTCCTCCAGGAGGCCTGGTGCACCCCTTTTTCCCTGGGACTTGTCCCAGCTCACGGGCCTGGGAACCCCGCCCAGCAGAAATCGCAGAAGATGGGTGCTTGGCTGTGTGCGTGCGGGTGGGTCGCCTGAGCCATTCGGAGGCTGGGTCCCGCTTGGAGATTTAGTGAGAGTCGAGGCAGTTTTCTTTCAAGGCCTCCGGCTACTGGCATTTGCCGCTGGATTTTTTTCTGAGATCCTGTAGCCATCGTCAGCCGTGGCTGGTGTCCTCTGGGGCGGCCTCGCTCCAGCAGGCGTTGGGTGGAAGATCCGTGCTCAAGGTCCCTTGCTTGGGGGATTGGATGGTTCTGGGGTACATGGCTCGTTCACCAGCTCCCATGGGAACACGCTGCCCTGTGACACGGTGGGTCCTGGTACAGTTCCTACTGGCCCGGTCTTTCACCCACCGCGCCTGCCCGAGATCTGAGCGCGGGCAGGGCTGGGGATAAAACCAGCCCCTTACTGATGATCTGGGGGATGCTTCCACCGGACGGCAACTTTGCCCTATAGGGAGAAGCGTTTCCTTTGGGTTGTCCACCATGAATCAAGTGACTCCCCCGTGTGCTCTGTCTGGGGCAGCATGGAAAGGAGGAAGAAATCTCCCTCCTGCGCCTGTCCAGGTCTGGCTTTGGAGGTGGGAGAAGGCTGCATGCCTTTTGGGATCTCTTGGGCCCGTGGCTCGGAGGGCCCCCTCGCTAGCCAAGTGCCGTGAAGTTACCGATAGATTTATTCCTTACACCGCCCCGGTGCAGCAGGGAGTTGCAATCCTGAGAGCACGGTGGGGAGTTGCCCTGGGGAGATGCGGGGACATGACCAAGGTTACTCAGGGAGTCTGTGGCAGAGCTGGGGATTGAGCCCTGGTCTGTTGGCTCCCAGGCCAGTGCCCCGCCTGTGAGCCCTTCCTGCCTCCCTCCAAGAGAGCAGCGTCTCCTCTTCGAAATCAGTTCCTTCCTGGGTGACACAATCTCTCCTTTGCTTGCCAACCCCGCTGCCCCGCCTCGTCCTCCCACCCTGGGCTGCTCCGTCGGATCCTGCCCTCTGCCAGGCTCTCCCACCCTGCCGCAGGACAGAGCAGGCCCTGGCGCTGGACCAGCCTCCCTCTTGCTCCGCAGGTGTGCCCAGGCCGGGTGGTCACCATCCTGACCTGGCCGGGCACGGCCCCGCAGCTCCGCTCCATCCTGCTCAACTCCCACACGGATGTGGTGCCGGTGTT